AAGTTGGGCCCCCCCCCCCCCCCCCCCGCCGCCGCCGCCGAAAACCACGGAGTATCGCACAATAGTTGTGGCCACACCTAGACTGCATCTACATATCATCTACATATCATCTACATATCACTGGGAGTGTCGGGCGAGCTGTTTGGGGCCCATTGGGCGGCAGTAAGCTTGTCCGAGACGATTGAAACATGTTGAGAAAACGCATCTACAGCAGTGGTATCTACAAGTGGTTGTGGAAAAAAATCGAGTCTGGCTTATAGGTGCGTCCAGCCCCTTCCCGACTGCGGGATACACACAGCCTGTCGCTGGTGCCTTACAGCTTGACATGTAGCCTTACGCCCTTCTACGCGTGATGGACGGGCACAGCAGCTAAAAAAATTATTTTTGAGCTTGCGGGCTTCGGTCCTACTGGAAGAGTGCAAGAGTTCGCAGAAGCTGTCCGCACTGGAAAATATGTGGAAAGTCCTATTTACTGGTATTTAGAGGAGAGCACTATTCGTCGCAATGTGGTCTACAACATTCAGGATCATAGCAGCAAAACGGCACCCTGTATATTATTCTCGAACACAAACCTTTTGCACACACATGTTGCAGACCTACAGCATAGGCGTGGGTGCTGATATTGCCCTGTCCTACACACGCATATGCTATGCATCACACAGACAGTGTCTCGATGACACAAGAAGGTGAACTGAGCGAAGAAGAGCCGATGTTTTCGAAGAGAGCACGAGAGCATCCGTCGTGTGTATGCTATACTCCGTATTTTCTTTTTTTTTCCTGGGGATCTCACGCCGGCTACCACGCCCAATGAAGCGGCAAGGAAAAGCGGGCCATACCACTCAAGGAAAGCCCTCGGTGGTGCACTACGGCTGCTGGCTGTGGTACGGATGCGAGCCGAGACGGAAGCAGTACATAAATTGGTATATACACCGCCGACTCACGCCCATCCCATATTGTTGTTGTTGCTGCTGCTGTTGCTGCCCTTCGTTCCCTGCATGCTGCCCGCCAGATGGCCGAGGCGGAATCTCCATCGCTCACTTACTGGCCATAGGGGGGGGGACGACACGCACTACTCATCAACACAGCAGAGACAGAGAGGGACATCATGAAAAAGACAGCAGATGGGCGGCGGCTTCGCAGATAGCATGTCCCCCATGCCCTTCGTCATGAAACGTTGGTTCACGGCGCCCCAATACCCTGTCACAGCATCTGATCTCTGATCTGTGCCAGCTGCGTAGCTGTCTGCTTGTGGCCTTGTTGTTGCCTGGGTCTGAACACTCCGTCTGCACCATCCCGATCTGCACACACGCCACCATCACCCCTGGAGAGTGTGCGGGGAGATCTTGCAGCTGGATTGAAAATTCTCGGAGTTTAGACGAGGTTGAGGTTTGAAACTTCAGGACACCCAGCACTGCCTCGCAGCAGCTACACACAATTTCAAACAACAGAGGACAACGGCCTTGCTTTCGGGGAAGCTCACACGTGGCACGCAAAACTTGACAAATCCAGAGCAAGGGGATCAGACACACTGCAGGCACATCTGATAAGCTGCTACGCAATCTTTTCTCTCATTTGGCAAGCTTTGAGGAAGTGTTCGCAATGTCTCCTACTTGGCGCTACGTCGCCGTCGTCGCGGTAGCGGCCTTGGTGGGAGGAGGACCGGCCAGGCGCGGGTCGGCGGAGGCTGCGGCCGCGACAAGGAAGAGCGAGGAGGAGCGGCGGGCCGAGTACGAGAGGTGCGCGCGCGCGCGTATGAAGAGAGTAGTGCCGGCACGGAGGAGGTTGGCGGGATTCATTGTAGTCTTTTTATTCAACATCTCACGCAGTGGCAACTGCTGCTGTTCCTGTCGGAGATACCATACGACGCGGCCGGCAAGGGAGGGTACTGCTGCAAACAGTTTTAGTTTGTCCTACGAAGGGAGGATACGCATTGCTCCCAACCTGTGTGACCCGCTGGTTTGCCACAAACATGCCGAAAGGTGTACGTAGACTGGCGCCCAGAATAGGTGGGACGCTTGCAAGACAACGAACAACCACAGGCAACAGACAACCCTGCTGTGGCGACCGACGAACCAATCTCGGCGAAGAGGCACCTCCCTTCAATTTTCACCGCAGGCGCAGGAAACGACGGCATCGAAAGTTCGGCAAATCAGATTTTTCCATTCGCTGCTCGATTTCGTGGAGATTTATTTTCCTGGAGACTAAAATCCAAAATAGAGCCTTCGCCAAAAGCCAGACCGATTTCCATCATTATCCTTGGCTGGTCGCCCGCCACACGCATCGGGGTAATTCCTGCAAATTTAGAGAGCACACCATATGCATATTTATTGCAGCAGTCTCGGGTATTGTTTGTTATTATATGCGTACTTGTAGTTCCTCCCTCCATCAGGGAGAATGTGCACCGAGTTCGTTCCTGGACCCCAGAACACAGCGGTCTTCTTGACCAGGAGAGTTTTTTTGGAGGCCCTTGGCTTTGAAAAAGGCGAGGCCGGTTGGAGATTGTAGATCCTCGTCTCCCGTACCGACGTCGGATGCGTATTCAGTCGTGGCTGGCTCCGATATAAGAGGGTGGCGTGGCAAAAGGCCCTGGAACAAAAGTACTCAACTAAAGTACAGAAGGTCGAAGTCGTGGCAACCGATTCCGACCCACTTATATCGGAGCCAGCCACGTTTGTATGCTCATTTTGTTGGGCGACTTGTCCCGAGGGCTGAACTATTTGGTCGTCCCGTACACTGACAAACGTGTGTGGTGTTTTTTTTTTTTTTAAGTCGGTGAGGAGCCACGCATATCGCCTGTCGATTAATGTCCTTACCGCCAACGATGCTGCTGCTGCTGTTCTTGTTCGAGATCGCCTCGTTTTCTTGCCGCTCTGTTTGACGCACGCCCTGTTTTGGCGCTTTCAATTTTTTTTTTTCTTGTCCCCCGGCTCCCAAGGTTTGTGGACAAGATGATGGACTCGATGCCCGCCGACGAGCTCGCGGAGGAGCTGGTGGGGGTTTTCCACCGCACCATGGACTCGGAGAAGCGGGAGCGAAGGAGGCGAGAGCTGGAGAGGGATTTCGACACAGACGACGAGGCTTTGCTCGAGAGGTACACGCAGGCATGTTTACCGTCTTGGCTTAGAAAAGCATACGTACGTACAACGAATCAGTGAAAGAGCTGCTTGTACCCGGTCAAGATAAAAGGTAATGGAAATAAAGTAGGAAAACTAACTAAACACACGTACAGAAAGACTACCCGTTCGGGATATACCCACATTCGAACGGGATGTGGTGGAATCTTTTAAATAGTACCACAGCAGTGTAGGGTGTGTGGGTTGTGCTGGAAGTGTTTGCAGTGAGAGGGCAGGAAGGCCTGCTGGATGCTGGGGGATAGTTTCAGGCGTGTCCACGGAGTAGGAACGAGAACCACCCGGCGGAACGTCTTTTGAATTTTTTTGGAAATTTTCACGGAGCGGAGTGGTTTTTGTCTACACATTTATCCACCAAACGTTGAGTGATACATCACGTGCGCCATTACCACTCTCGGATCATTTTTTGGACGATGTTGTTTCTTGTTATGTGTACGTTTGTCTCCCTGCACACTCATGCCCCGCCCACCTGTTTTTGGCTTTGTTCTGAATCGACCCCCCCGCCTTCCCCCCTCCGCGCGTGCCCGGGACCCCCGACATCAGGATCGGTCGCTTGGTAGTACAGTGGGTCAACACCCGACTCACCCCGAGGACGGACGAAGAGTGCGACTGGAGCTGGTAAGTTTGTTTTTTTTGTGGTGATCTCGTCTGTGTGGTATCCGTTGGACAACTACTTGCTGTTGTTGGCAGCGACAAGCATAGACGAAGTGAGACTTACGCCGACTTTTTTTAGGTCCCGCGTAGCCCCGGCCAGGCCTCCTCCGCTGCGGTCGTCCGTTGCGCAACGTGCCTCCAGTTTTAATCGTTGCTGTGGTGCCTTTGGGGGGGGGGGGGGGGGGGGA